AAGTATGTTTGACCGAATTAATTAAGGGAGAGATGCATACACTTGTCCTATAATGGCCAAATCCGGGATGTCGAGCAAGAATGAGCCTCTAAAAAATGATAACAAAAAGGCTAGGGTGTTCTCATTTGATGTGACAAAAGCTGACCTTATATTCGATAAATTGTATAAAGATAAGCAGATTAAACTGAATGACAAGCATAACTTACTAGACCCTGGGCAAATTAAGGGTAAAAAATATTGTAAATGGCACAACGCTTGGTCACATATGACTAATAATTGTTTGGTCTTTCGTAATGTATTACAGGATGCCATCGAGTTAGGGCGAATCACGTGTGAGGATAAAAAGAAAATGTCAGTGGATGAGAATCATTTCTCACTGCCACTTGGGGTGAACATGGTAACAGCTGGTTTCAAAAACAAGGTACCAAGATTCAAGTTGATCATAGATGCTGCAGAAGAAGATTCTGAGCCTAGAGAGGATGGAGCCATTTTCAGTAGATCCAAAAATGATAAATCGGTCATATCCTAAAGTGAGAGGCATTAGAGCAGCACTAATAAACTATTTAAAAGTGAAGTATTTTTTATTTTAAAGAGCCAAACCTTAAAATTTAGTTCCAAGCGATTTTTATTTTGATATTTTTAAAGTAGAGAGTGAATTTAACTCTCTCTATATTTAGAGAGTCAAATACACTTTCTATTTGTGTTTTATCAAGGTCTCATTTAACTAACATTGCAAGTTCAGTACTTTACAATTTAAATTATTGATATTATATAAATTTTTTAGCTAATGAAATCTAAAAATACATATAATTATTAAAAATTAGGGAAAAAATAAATGAATGTTGGAAAAAATATAAAATAAAGAGTTTGTTGGAAAAAGAAAATGAAGAGCAAAAATAAAGAATTTATTGGAGTATATAAAACATTATACTCTTTAAATTTAAAAATAATATCTATTATGATCAAGATGCTCTTTTAAAATAAAGATTGTACATGATAAACAAAATTTATTACTTATTTTTTCATTGTAAAGTTGTGTCTTGACATCGCCATTAAATGTGGTGTTTGTGGGAGTAGTTGGGTCTAGGATAATTTTTGCCTAATTGTCTTCAACAATGTCTTATTGTTAAGAGAACTGATTTGAGTGGCTAAAACTTGTGAATGTCATATGGTTTCTGATGCTACCAAAAATCGTACTTGTTGATTCTCGAGCTTGATGAGGACGATCGCGAACAAAATCTCTGACACCTGAAACAAAGGCGTCGAGATGTTCCCTCGTCGCCCTTCCGATGTTTAAGTTAGCGAAAAGGAGAAATATAAGCGTAAAACTATAAATTGAATGTAAAAACATACCTGAATAATGAATTAGAACCTATATTTATAAAGGTAGATAGCACTATCTTGATAGGATTAGGATACTAGAAGTCTTATCTATTTAAAAGATGTAAAAGACTTGAGTATTTCAATATGAGTAGGAGTTGTAAGTTGGTTAAAATCCAATCTTATTAGATTTGGATAAATTTAAAGACGGAAGTAGAGTGAGACAAAGGTAAAACCCCGAGGTGGCGTGGAATCGTCACGTGCGGCAATTAAGCCTGACGAGGACACCTGGGGAAAACTTTCAAGATGACTGGACACAACCTCGGGCATTGTTGTTCAGGATTTAATCAAAAAATGACCATATCAGTTTCCACAATAAACTTTTACATAGAATATAGATATATTATAGCTATGTTATCTAACATCACTGATGTTACAATGCTAATCTACACAAATTTAGATGGCATTAAATAAGATGTATAATTAAATAAGTCACTTTATTTTATTTTCTACTAAGTCTATGATATAGTGTTACCTAAAATAGTATTATTCTGCCTCTGTTTGACAACCATTAAAATAAAACTTTTTTTTTTTTCAAACTTATTTTCAATCACACATTCCCACAATAAAATATTTTGCACGTAAATCTTTTTTTTTTTTTACTTTTTAACCACATATTATGAAAAAATCATTATTCCAAAATTCATTTTTTCTAAAAACTCTTTTTAGAGGTTGCCAAATAGGGCGCAAGTCTTTAAGCACAATGTTGCCGACAAACTTCAAAATAATTCATTAAGCCTTTGTTCGGTAAATTCGTAAATGGTTTATAAAACGAAATACTTGTAAATTCTTAAAATATGTGAATAATGATGAATGATGAAAATTATTATTAAATTTATATATAATTTATAAATATGTCGGTCAAATAAAGTTAACATGGTAACCTTATTGAAACTTTTTAGTATGAGAATGGTGATGATGACAGTTTTCGAATGAATTTGCAGAAAAATTCAAAATACATATACTCATGTGGGGTGGCCCCATGTGAATTAAATATTGTAAAAAAAATAAGGTCCACCTATTTGTGTGTATTTTGTAGGCTTTTTGCGTATTTTTTTCTGACTCCCTCAGTTTGAAGAATGATGCTACACATCCAGAGTCAAGTCCACACTTAAATCAAGGGAGTTCACTGTTTCAAGGTTCATTTTACCCTTTTACCCTTATTTTCATTATTTGCGAAATATGCCCTGTATGTTTTAATTGTTAGATTGTTTAAGGTTATATCTTACAATTCTTCCAAATTTCTCAATATCTTCTCTTTCTATTTATTGATCAGAGTTATTATCTATACGGTGTTCCTTTAACATTTCTATCTGCTCTAAATATTCTCTATATTTTGTTAATTTCTCAAAAGCTCTAGGCTAATTTTTTTTAGTTATATTTCCAAAAACAATTCCTTCTGGAACTTCTTCTCCTATATTTTCGTATTTAGTTATGACATTTTCGACCCTTTTTATTTCTTTACTAGTTTCT